TCAAGACGCCCTGCACACCGAAGTTTCGCTGTCTTGCTCTAAAGGCACTGAGCTTCAGTGGAATAGGATCACGGCCGCCATGCACGACGCACCATTCACTGGATATCCGAGAGGTCGGTGAACCTGTTGGAATCTAGAAGAAAGCTCCCCTCTGGCCCTGAGCACAATATGACCAGACGGGCTATTAGGCGCGGACGAAAGCTGAGCCTACGTGCTTACATGGAAGGCCGGTGGACCAGTCGGGTTAAAGAAATGGAGGAGGCAGGAGTAGTAAGCAATTATCGCAAGCTCTTCCAGCTAATCCGCACCACTTGTCCCAGGAGACTAGGTGTCAGTGAGACAATCAGAGACAGCGCGGGTGCACTGATACACAAAAAGGAGCATCGTATGCCTCGTTGGACGGAACGTTTTCAAGATCAGTTCAAATGGTCCCTTGCTTCCGGACCTCTTCCTACTCAGGTGATGCAGGACGAGCATCCGTCAGTGGCCCGGGTCCGAAACGCGATCACAGCCCTCAATCGTCCGCATTCCCTTCCACCTGCTAAGCACTGTCTTCTCTATTCTAACGTATCTGGTATGATGAGAGTATCCCGGCTCCAATTAGGAGCGAATCGATTATAGTGGCAATATACAAGAAGGGCAGTCGTTCAGACTGTTCTAACTACATGGGTATTAGCCTGACGCCTGTTGGGACAAAATTACTGGCCTCGTTTCTCGTTCGTCGCCTCACTGTGGAAGGGGAATCACGGATTAGGGAAGATCAGTCCAGTTTCCGCACAGGGCGTGGCTGTATAGACCATATATTCACTTTGCGGCAGGTGCTAGAGCAGCGCCACACTTATCGCAGACCGAGAACAACTGTGTTCCTCGATTTCAACTGTGCGTTCGATTCAGTCGATCGATCGATTCTGTTCGAAATACTTGCGCGGAAAGATGTTCCCACGAAATATGTGAACATTTTAGGTGCTCTATACTTGAATATCACAGGCTGCGTTAGGGTCTATGCTGACCTGTCATATGCAGCTCCGACAAGTGGCGTTCGTCAGGGTTATCTTATTTCCCCATTTTTGTTCAATTTCGTGGTGGATTCTATCATGGAGTGTTCCCTTGCGGAATCTCACGATGTAGGCGTTGAAGTGCTGCCTGGTGAGAGGTTAGTTGATCTTGATTATGCGGACGATATCGTCTTGCTTTTCGCCGATGTTGCGGTGGCACAGTCAACCCTGAATAGCCTGTCTAGAGTGGTCCCATTATTTGGTATACGCTTTGCACCTTCAAAGTGCAAAGTGTTGCTGCAGGACCATCAGCCACCTTGTTTACAAGAAGCTCGAGGTGGTTGGTTAATTCATTTACATTTTGGCAGCTGCATCAGCAACCATGGGCTCATAGAAACTGACGTCAGCTCACACATTGCAAAGGCCAGAGCTGCCTCCTTGAACCTGCGGCATCTTTGGCGACAGAAGGGAATTTCCCACCCTCATAATGGCGGTGTATACAAGGCTACAGTGAGTGCCGTTCTGCTGTATGGGAGTGAGACTTGGCCCCTTCGGTCTGAAGATCATAAACGCTTTCAGGTCTTTGATCATCGTTGTCTGCGAAGCATTGCTGGTGTCGCATGGCACCAGTGTGTCCGCAACGATGATATGCGTAGGCGAGTACTTGGTGGTGATAATCATGCTAGCTCCCTAGAACAACAGTTAGCACTGAATAAGTTGTGTTGACTCGGGCACGTGCTGCGTATGCTAATTTACCGCTTACCTAGGTGGTCCTTGTTTAGTCTGCCAGATGTAGGGTGCCGCAAGGCTCGAGGTGGACAGAAGTTGACTTGGCAGCGGGAAATGAAGTCACTGACGACCAAACTGAGTACCGTTGGTCCGTCTCGCCTTCCGGGTTGGAGTCCACGTGACTCGCCTTTTGCTTGGCTTAAGACTGCAGGACATGGCTCGCAACCGACACCAGTGGCGCGCCTGCTGCCGTCTCCTTCTCAGACTGCCTGTTTAAAGTGTGTTGGGTGCTGAGTTATCTGCTGGGTAATGGTTGATTATGACGTGGGGCAGTGGAAGCCGCAAGGAAGCTGTCTCGCTGATGTCGCCTAATCTTTGCACGATTGCCGCTGTTTGTGACGTTATGTTGTTAATACAACGTGTAGGCGCCTTGACCCTGAATGTTTGCTTAGGGCATTAAGGTTTTCAGGTAAGTCCCCCTTCTCTCCCTCTTCTTATTCTTTATTTCATAGGTCCTCATGGTTGTATGACAGGGAAGCATCAGTTCCAATGGCTGATGTACTGCTGTTCATGATGATGGTGTCAACCTTAAAGCCGATGTTCGAATCCTGGATACAGTGTGTTTTGACGGCCGGTGGCCGAAAAGACTGTCATCCTGCGTTATAATCCTATCCTTGCCGCTTCTAATTCGCGTAGATGTGCTTCGAATTGAACTTCAGTCGCTCCGACTGCTTTGATCGCATCTGAAGTTGCAGTGTTTCCGGGGTTGCTCGATATTGCCGCGACCAACGTCATTCTTGTTTTGTCTCTGCATGTAGAGATAGCCACAGCTGAGAGAGGAACTTTGAACGTAGTGGTCAACGACTGATGCTTTGTTCACTGGGCCATTGAAGTCAGCAAACGAAGCTTGGCGCGGCGGTTGGGAATTCATTGTTGAGTTTCCAAGTAGGCACGGTGTTTTTTTATTGCAACTGTCAATCTCAGTTGGAACCAGTGTCACGTTCGCAATCCAACACGCGGTTGGCACCCTGGAACCCAGATGATGAATTCCGACCCACCAAAACAAGCGTTGGTGGTGAATCTCAGTGACGCGGAATGTACTCTGTTTCTTTCACCTGTGTGCTTTCCAGCTCTCTAGTAGCCGAAGGAGTTGTTTTTGTATGTGGGCGCCTCTGCACAGGCACATTGTTACAATAGACACAGTTACATCTAATCTGCGTAATCATTACCACAAAACACTGTGTTCGCTCTGAATATGGGGTCGAAGCCGAGCTACCCGCACGACCGAAATTGAGCGTCGCACTTTTGCTTTTTGGTCTTAAGGCGTATTTTGTGTGTGCTTTGGCGAAATCTTAGAAATTGCATTCATTGAGTAACTTATGATATGTGGCGGAAGAAGTTACTCTGTCATCGGCTTTTCGTAAGGGTGACTGGCTAATTGCTACTTAGATTATTCGGGTATTTGGTTACCACATTTTCATTTTAGAACAAAATTAATGGCTATGTGAGGGTCGCCAGTCGTCTTCTCAGAATCTCGGCAATAGTCTCCTGCTGGTAATACATTCCTTCACTAGTGTTTGTCACCGGCGCCTTGATTATTGATTGTTGCTAGCTTCCCCCGTGCCCGCCCGTGTGCTCGCCACCGCCCTAGTCATCCTAGTACGAGGAGTGTTCAAAAAGAAACCGAACTTATGAAATAGCACGCCAACCGGCAGAGGGAGCGCGCTGCGGCTACTAAGCGCATGGTGATGCTTGTTTAGAGAACAAAGTGCGAGTTGCCACATTTCGCTCTAAATGTTAGTTGGCGAGCTATAGCCGCTGGATCGAGCACGTGCACCAGCTTTTCGTCGGGTTAAGACCACAGAGACAAGGAAAGAGCCTGTAGAACGTCGTGTGTGTGTGTGTATGTGTGTGCAATTTTGCTACCAAATTGGTAAAAGTTTCACAGACATTTCCATTGCTTAACCAAGCATACGGAGAGGACTGTGCGAGTCGCACGCATTGCTATAGCTGGTTTAAGTGTTTTGAACACGGTGGAATTTCGGTCGGTGACGATCCCAAGCGTAGAGGAGCTTCCGTATCAACAGGCGATGGTCATGTCAAGGAAGTTCGTTCTGTAATTCGTGGACATCATCGTTTAACTTTTTTAGAAGTTGCTGACGAACTGGGCATCAGCGTACGATCATGCCATCATATTCCAGCGCGTTTATGGGATGCTATGCACAAGAGGAGTCCTGCACTGCGGAAAAAGCAGACTTAGATGTTACATCATGGCGATGCGCCGGCCCACGCCTATCTCCTTGTCTGCAGCTTTCCAGCAAAACCTCACACTCCCGTTGTGCCCCATCTACTGTATTCTCCGGACTTAGCCTCTGCAGACTTTTTCCTCATACCCAAACTTAAAACCACGTTGAAAGAACTTTTCCAAATCATAGAGGAGATTCAGGACAGTGCGACAAGAGACCTGCGTGCCAGTCCAGAAAGTGCGTTCCAGGAGGCTTTACAAAAATGGAAGCACCGTTGGGAGCCGTGTATTGCCAGTAGAGGGAACTATTTTGATGGAGAAATTGCTTAAAATCTTGTGCAATGAGCAATAAAGATGTTATAACAAAATTTCTCTTTCCTTTGAACAACCCTCATATGCACCACTGGTTGGTACCGTTGGTCTCTGGTTTCATTGCTTTTGCCAGGACTTGTCGATCCTATGGTGCTGCTAGCAGCATCATGATTTCGCTTAGTGATTTCTATTTCAGATTCAATTCTTGGTGTTTATTTTGTGGTTTCCACGAGTACCACACTTCATAACGTTTGCCGACAACTTCGCTATTTTACCCTAGCTCTTGCATTTATGTTGCACTTTGCGAATTTTTTACGTCAGCTTTCTATTTCGCGGTTACTCTAACTATCATTGCTTATTACTCGTTGTTCTTTTCATTCAAGCTGGACTAACCACCTGGTCTCTCCATCTTCGTAACTTGGTTTGATATTGTGGGCAATGGTGTAGCTCTTTGTCACTCGGTGAATTTGAAGTGTAGACTGCACCGTATGGTGTGAAACACTGCGTGTACACCACGATTTCGCACTTATGAAAACGACTTTTCTCTCCGCACGCCCACAAACGTTTTACGTTTCGCCTGACTGCTTCACTTCATGCGTAGGGTAGCTGCTTTTGCTCTCACGCTCACGAGTGACTTCTACTTTTTGATTACTTTAATTTTCTCTGGCTTCCTTACTTGTGCATTTTATAATTTTCTCTCTTGCCATTGCAAATCACAGTATCTAATCAAAGTTGGCGAGCTGAAGGCCAAACGGAGTGCGGATTTGCTTCAACATCTTATCGATTTTTATTACGCTCAGAATCAGTGAGTATTTTCTGTTTATCTTCTTTGACTGTGGCTCGGGTGCATCTTTTTACGCTCTGACGAGTGCTCAGCATCCATTTTTCTAGACCAATGGCTTGTTGATCACTCCCGCATTGTTGCCTTTACGTGCCTCCCAGACCATCTTGTTTAATGTATCACGTTTATGCCTTGCATTAACACTCACTTCTGTCGCAGGGTTGGTAACCATTCGTGTCGTTTTTCTGTACAGCGTGAAACACCCGCGCTAGCTATGCTCACTGCACGAATTCCGGAGTGAAATGCAGCTTTATTCCTGCTTCACCATTTATTAAGAACCACTTTGTCGTCACCCTTTCGGCCATTTCGTCCTCATTGTTTTTCTAGCTTTTGTAACTTGATTTACATCATAGCAGGTGCCACTATGACGTCAGAATCTCGGACGCGGGCCCAAAGAGGTTCAAAGTTAAGCAAATGTTTGAAATCGTGCTTTCCTGTTAAGAGCAGCAACCTCTTACACCACACACCCTGGTATTCTTGCATGTCTGACTACTTATCGCTTTCCAGACGAACTTCAAAAGGATAGGTTGCCAACGCACAGGTGGCTTTTGTGGGTCACTGGACATAACTATGAAAAGAATTCTCACATTCACATCTTACAATCTTTATCCGTTATCTCTGAACCGAATACCCGGGGCGCTTGGTGTCTCTTCTTATATGGTCCTTGTTCTCTCGTATCATGCAGTCACACTGCCTTGATTTTATAGTATGATCATCCTTTCAATGATATCACCGTATGTGTTAAACAAACTAACCCTTGCGCATCTCGTCACACCTTCCTCCAAATTTGACTCCCTCTCTTTACCTTCCGGTTGCGTCTTGTTACAACCGGTGTTACTCCCAGTTTTGTGATTTTACAAACGTATGTTAACCGTTCAATTAAAAGCCACACTATTCTCCACTCACTTCCATTGTCGACTCAGTGTTTAAACCCCCTGCATTTAACTTGCTGTTTTTCATTTGTAACATATTCATCATCACCAACAGCAGTACATCAGCCAATTGGACTGACGCTTCGCTGTCGTGAAACTACAATACCCTATAGAACGTAGAACAATAACAGAGAGAGAAGGGGGGATCTAACGTGAAACCTTAGTGCCCTACGCAAACACTCAGGGTCAAGCCGCCTACACCATATCAACAACGTATCGTCACAAACAGCTGGCTATCGTGCAAAGATAATGTGACATCGAGGAGACAAATCCCTTGTGGCTTTCACTGATCCGCCATTACCCTGCACATCGCTCAGCACTAAACGCGCCTTAAACAGAAAGTGCGATTAGGAGAGGATAACTGGAAGCTGCGACTGACCGACGACAGCCAGTTTTTAGTTAGTTTCTTCCTTTCCCGCTGCCAAGTCAACTTTCGTCTACCTCTAATCTTGCACCACCTTACATCCAGCAAACAAAACAGGGCTCTTTACTGTAGGCGGCAACCGGGCATACGTAACACTCGTCCAAGCCAACGCAATTTATTCAGTGTTATTTGTTGTCCTAAAGTACTAACCTGATTACCATCGCCTAGTATTTGCTTACACACATCGTGATTACGGATACGTTGTTGCCATTCACCTCCAACAATGCTGCGCAGGCATCGATGATCAAATACTTGAAGACGCCTCAGATCAACGGAGCCTAGTCTCACTCTCATAGAATAAGACGCCTCTACTGTGGCCTTGTACACACAAGTTTTCATATTGGTGAAAACCCCATTCTGTCGCTATAGATCAAGATGCCTATTCTAGCTCTCGCAATACATGAACTAATAATACTAATGAACTACTAACATTTATACATAGCCCCAAGATCGGATCATACAGCTGCACAATTTCCTGGCATGATACCCCGACATTAGTCTAGAATAAAGAATCCTGTAAACCAGGCTGAACCGCTCATGAAATCTTTCGATGTGTTTGTGTGTTGTGTTTATCCTGTATGACAGCGGCTCTGTGCACATGCCTATCACATACACTGAATGTCTGTAATTAGTGTAGACACACAGATTCAAATTATCGCACCGTGGAAGCCCCAGGTATTTGCAATATTTTGCTATGACGGGACAAATGTATCTTCGGTTATTCGAAATCTCGAAATTGAAGATAACTTTCGACTCTTGCGGAAAGTGGGTCAGCGCGTATCTAGAAACCTCATCTGCATTAGGTCCTACACCTTATCTGTTGATCCGTTCCATCCGATCTGCGTCACAAATAGCACCGCCGATAACATATGCGGTAGTCTCCTTGATAGCGAACAGGTCGAGTTTGATAAAGTACCTAAAATTGTGTATTCTGTGTCAAATTGCAATTACAAGCCGTTTCGCGATGTCGTTATGAATTTTGCCGCGAGTATCATGTATGTCCGCACATGATTGAAAGGATAAATGAGAGCGTTTCTTTCTGTCCACCAGCTCCACGGCACTAAAGAGTGGATGTTAATGGGTATGGTCTGTTTCCTGTTTTGGCTCGCCTGCAGCTGAATCCATCGTATGAATAGACGACGGAATATTTTGACCGAATGCTTGAGCCAGTGCTCAAATGACGGTGCATATGTAACTTCCCGGAGTACGGAACCATCGACATGATAAAAGTGCTTTCTCCAAGCCCCTAGTGCAGAAGTCTTGTGGAGGATGGGCTGTTCACGCTCAAAGACGGGAATTGTGGCAATGCGATAGATAAAGGCCACGGAGGGATCGCGGATCGCCCAGCTGGTTATAGTATGTGAGTTTGACAGATGGCGCTCCAGGCGAGCTTACAGAAGACGAATCATTATGGACGGATATGTTGTACCGGATTCGAAATAGCAAATGGAGATTAAGCAACCGGGATCTTTAGACATAAACACTCATTTGCGTACATGGGAGCGAACTAATGGATCCATATTATTTAACCTTTAACGATGTACTACCGCTACAGTGCGGCTGTGAACTTGACAGGGTAGTATGGAGCTGCGAAGTATTTCTAATCATTGATATGGTTTTAAGGGGTGCTCAGGTGGTCTCTCGAAGTTGCGAGCGTATTTGTTCTAGGGATGCAAGTGGTAATTCGCCTTCCCATTTGTACGGGACATTAAGAAAACTGGGCCATTCATCTGCTTGCGGTGATGCTGTCGTGCCGGAAAGATATACGACAAGTCACCGTAGACCCTAACGTAGTCTGTGTTGTTGAATTACACGGCACGTAAGATGTTCACATATTTCATGGGATTACCTTTCTGTGCAAGTATTTGGAGTATAAAAGATCGATGGACTGAGTTTAATGCACTCCTGAATTCCATGGTCAAAGCTTTTGCCGGTTCATGTTACGTGTACCGCTGTCCTAATGTCTGCTATAGAGTGCATATGTGGACTAGATTGCCCTGTCCTTGGCGGAAGCTTGACAACTCTTCCATAATCCATGGTTCTCGCTCAGCAGTGCAGCGACGAATGAGAATTGAAGCCAATACTTTTGATACCACCGGCGTTAGGCTTATACCCCTGTGATTAGCACGTTCGTTGCAATTGCTCTTTTTGTATATCGCCTCTATGATTTATTCAATCCAGTTCTCTGAGATGGCCTCTTCCTTCCAGACCTGTTCGGACAGACCTCATCGCCATCCTTAAATAGTGCGGTTTCAAGAGTATCCGGATCAGCAACTCGAAAATGCTGATGGGGTATGATCGTGAGTCGTGTCTTGGCTTCTGATGGGTCCTCTTAATTAACCGATCATGGTTCAGCCTGCACTACCTGATCAGGAAGAGTCCCAGGAGCAAGGGGCAATTGAACTGCTCTCGAAAGTGCTTCGCCCAATGAGTTATACCGCACTCGTTATTGTGAATCAGAGTACCAGCCCTGTCTATTGTTTTGTCACTGCCACTTGGTTTTCTGAGATCAGTTGTGCTAAACGCTTGCCATAATTCCGTACCACTATTGCCTCCTCCGTTTCTTGAGCCCTATTGATCCACCGAGCTTCCTTCTAAGCACACAGGCTCCGCTTTAAGTCGCACATAATAGTCCGCCTGCTCCCATTGCGCTCAGAGCTATCCGGGTGCTTTCTTCTGGATTCCGCCAGGTTCACAGAGCTCTCGGATATCCAGTGACTGGTGCGGTGCCAAATGTTAATGCCGCAGGCAGAGGCTCCCTCACCGTTCATGCCAGACCGGGGTCTTTTCCACTGAATCTTCGTTTGTCTAGGGCGAGAGAGTGAAAGTTGAGTACGTAATGCGTCTTGGTAGCTTGCTTCATTGAGGACTGAGATAACTCCTCAGTTTCCCATCATTGGAAACGCTTGGTATCAAAACATGACGTGTGAGTTACAATCCAGGATGGAACCACGCCACTTGTAAATTTTGGCAGTGTGATCTATTTGGATCCGTCGCTGGCCGGCAATAAGGGACGCCAAGTGGCAGTTCGGCACCCAGTGTGTCTAAAAGCAATACTACTAAAAACAGCCGTTTCTCTGAACACAACTACAACATACGATACCGTTGTCCGACCGGTCAGAGTTAATTCCATACTTACCATCTTGCTGACTTCCTAAAGAGCCCAGACAACTTGAGCTTTCACGTCCCATTCAAAAACGTTATGTGAACTGGCTGCACTGTGAAGCCGCATCTTCAGTTCGTTGTAGAATGTGTTTTTTGACAGCATCAGAACTGTACTCGATGTGTGTATAGGCAGCGGTTACAACAAACAACGTCTAGTATTACTTCGTAAATCAACCTTAGTTGTTGTCGTCAAACGAACTGCTGACTGTGACCAACGATGACCCGGCCTTGGAGCTGAGAGTGATGCTCACTCCCGCTTCACCAGTGGTCGCCGCATCATCGCACCCAGCTACGTGCAACGGATAGCGAGAAGACAAGCTGGGCGCAGTTAGTCAAAATACCCAGTAACTGTTATTGGTCCTAGTTTCGTACATGGAATGCACGTCAATATCCATGGTGTCCAGCGTGCGTGCGGATGCGAACGTTGAACGCCCCCACGATAA